CTCCCGGGCTGGTGCCGGGTTTTGGGGCACTGCCCGCTCGTCGCGTTTGGAGGTCTGGGCCAGGGGCGGCATCATTGTTATGGGCATTGGCATTGCTATGGTTACGGTTCTTGTCATCTTTCTGCGATCACTGGCTTTGAAGTCTGATTGCTTTTTCTTCACCATGATTCCTGTCATAGCTTCTTGTTGCCCCGTCGGCCAGGCCTCGACCCTGCGGGCCTCGTTGGCGCAAGAGCTCTACGCCACCCTCTTCTTGTCCTTGCCCCGAGGGAGCGGACAGGCTTAGGGGCATGACTCGCGCAAAGGGGGGCTTCGTGACTTTTGGGAGGTTCATGGGTGCACAAAAAACAGGGTGATGTATAATTCTGCTGAGAACCTTATTCAGGCTACTTCTAGCCCTTCGTCTAAGTCCCCATGACCCTTCAAGCAGAGAGACTTGCCCAGGTGGCTCACACGTTTCGTGGCTCAAGGCATCGCCCCGCCGCAGGCCAGATGTGACATGTGACGTGCTATGTCCTCCAGCAAGAAAGTGTCTCCCACACCGTTGCGCTCAGATGTTCACTGGACCGTACGTGAATTGAAGGTTCATGGCTACTGAGAAGTTCGGGGGAGACGTACCCCTAAATAAGGCTGTCAGCAAAAAGCTGCCCCACTTGCAACCTGCTGACAAGTGCCCGTGAGCCTCCAAGTAGCTTTTGCATCTGCCCCTTCGCCTTGTGAACCTCATCACGGCCTACTTTCAGGTTCATGGCGCTTCGTAACCCAGTTATAACTGTACTTGTAACCCAGCCATAACACTCTCAGGGCATTTAAGGGGCTCATAAGTGGGTTCTCACTACACTTATAATTGGGTTAGAAGTACCCTGAACCTCCAAAGTAGGAGCTGAGCCTCCCAAACAACAGAATCCCAAAGAACACCCATGCAGCGAACCCTGAAGAAAAACAATCTGGGAATTTGTGCAGGCCGAGTCGGGCCGACTGCTCGGACTGCTGGACCTGTACGGTTTTGAGGCTGGTTAGGAAACCTTCGCTCATGGGCTACCCCCTTCTATACTACACCCCCCGGGTTTCCACCTTAAAGAACCTTAATTAGGCGCAAATAGCCTTAACTATGGGTAGGGCCCCTAGGGGGGGGTAATACAGAGGGGGGTAGTAGGGGAACCCATTATGCGCTCGGCTTCTAGTGTTTGTGGGTCGATTGGACAGGTGTAGGGCTTTCTTGCATACCCAAGACTCCAATACCATATTCCTTAAAGTATAGAGGGTTCCTTATATGGTTTTAAGGAATATTCCTTAACTAAGGGGTATTGGAGCCTCTGGGTAGAGGGTGTGGAGCCTAGGATGGGCGCAGTGTTGCTGAGACGGCTTCGGAGGTGTTTCCCTCCAATGGCTTCGAGCAGTTTCTCATCAACTACTGCGGAACCCTCAGAGCGAACTGGTCATAAATCCTGAACCCTAAACCCTAAACCCTGAACCCTGAACCCTGAACCCTGAACCCTAAACCCGCCGACCGAGCCGAGTGAATTGACCCGCATGCGTGCGCCTTACTCAATCTTGCTGAAGCCAGGGATCTTGACTTAGTTTAGGGTTTTGGGTTCAGGGTTCAGGGTTTAGGGTTCAGGGTTTAGTGTTCAGGTTTTAGGGCCTAGGGTTCTAGGGCTTAGGGTTTAGGGGGTCTCTTCAGTGCAGCCGGGAGAGTATAGATCCGCCTACCAAGGCAACGAGCGGTTGCAGCAATTTTTCAACCGTCAGGCTCGCCTGCAATCGGGTCTTACGGGGATTTTGGAGTTTAGGGCTCGGGATGTTAGGAGTTTAGGGTTTAAGGTCTAGGGGTTTCCGGGTTTGGGGTGAGAGTCTATGAGGTTTAGGGCAGTTGCCCTGCTTGCGCATGCCATGTATGCCATCACGAGCCCAGCAGGTCTTCACTCGCGAGGCGGAGGAGTATGCCGCTGAAGGCTAGCGTGTTGGGTTTAGGGTTTAGGGTTTAGGGTTTAGGGTTTAGGGTTTGGGGTTTGGGGTTTGGGGTTTAGGGTTTAGGGTTCCGGGTTCCGGGTTTCAGGTTCAGGGTTCTCTCAAGACCCACGGCCCCCAATTTCGGCGTTGTTCTGCATTGGCTCCTCTACTTGGGAAACCCTGCCCTAAACCCTCCATCCAGGCTTGGACTGCGATGGCCAGTGGACGCAACTGACCTCTGCATGCCAACTGCCAGCACTGGCACTCTTGGAGGCACCCCTCACCGATCAAGGAATGGGATGGACCGGCCAAAGCCCCAAGTCCTAAAGCGTTTGCCGTAGGTTTGACAGAGGAACCAGGCTTTTCTGTTTAGGAGGAGGCTCTTCATCCCTGCTGTAGATTCTACGTTGATCTGGTGCGTGCCCATGGGGTCTTTGGGAGGTCTGAGCATCGGAGTTGCTTGATGTCTGTCATCTGCCAGTGAACCAATGTCGAAGCTGTCACTTTGAAGTTGTCTCCCTACACCCTAAACACTAAAGCCTAAACCCTAAACCCTAAACCCGAAACCCAAAACTCTCCCGAAAGGGAGTCCTGACAATCAGCTTGCAAAGAGCCCCAAAGTGGTTGCTGTTCGTAAGCCCTTAGCTTTGTGGTCATAAGCAGTGTGAGGAAGCGCCTCAAACCCCAAACCCTAAACCCTAAACCCTAAACCCTAAACCCCAAACCCCAAACCCCAAACCCCAAACCCCAAACCCTAAACCCTAAACCCTAAACCCGTAAACCCTAAACCCTAAACCCCCCGCCTCAACTCCCCCAACTCCGAGCCAGGGCCCCGGTTCTGTGGGCATTTTCGGCGTGGTCAACGACCGGTCGAAGTGCAACTTTGAGGAGCTCTGGGGGTGTTCTTTAGGGTTTAGGGTTTAGGGTTTAGGGTTTAGGGTTTAGGGTTAGGGATTAGGGCTTCATGGCTTAGGGTTTTATAGGGCTTGGTAGGGTTCAGGGTCTTAGGGTCAAGGCCTTCATCTTACTGTTGGTGAGCAGGGAATGAGGGAATTAGGGCCCTTCGTATACCCTGTAAGGGATTATACAGGGTACCTCATTCCCCCATTCCCTACTAACCAACAGTAAGCTTCGGGTCTTCAAGGGCTTTCGGGGTTTAGGATTTAGGGTTTGGGCTTTCGGGGTTTTAGGTTTTAGGGTTTCGAAACAGGCTTTTGGGACTTTCAAGGGCTGATTGGAAGGTTTTTGTGTCGTGAGAGGCTTTTCTTCCAGATTTTTTTTGAACACTTTAACTGGCAAGCTTCGTTGAGGGTTTAGGGTTTAGGGTTTAGGGTTTAGGGTTTAGGGTTTAGGGTTCTTCTGTAGGGGTACACCAAAATGGACCCAGAAGGGCGATCAACACCCGCTACAGGCTTGGGGCTTGTTTCGGACTTTAGGTGCCTTGGGTTGGGGTTTTCGAGTCCATTGCAGGGTCTTTAGGGTTTGGGGGTTTAGGGTTTAGGGTTTAGGGTTTAGGGTTTAGGGTTTAGGGTTTACGGTTTAAAGTCCTTTGCTCGAAGTGGCGAAGGATGCACCCCTCGGTGGGTTTTTGGCGTTTGGGGATGTGGGCTTTCCCTAAAGCCTAACCCTAAACCCTAAACCCTAAACCCTAAACCCTAAACCCTAAACCCTAAACCCTAAACCCTAAACCCTAAACCCTAAACCCTAAACCCTAAACCCTAAACCCTAAACCCTAAACCCTAAACCCTAAACCCTAAACCCTAACCTAAACCCTAAACCCTAAACCCTAAACCCTAAACCCTAAACCCTAAACCCTAAACCCTAAACCCTAAACCCTAAACCCTAACCCCTAAACCCTAAACCCTAAACCCTGAACCTCCAGACTCCTCTCTAGGAGGCGCAGCCTGGTCGTTCTGGCCACATTTGGGAGACTGGACCTGCGCACTGTTGGCTTGAAGGAGTGGGGTTTAGGGTTTAGGGTTTAGGGCTTAGGGGTTTAGGGTTTAGGGTTTAGGGCTTAAGGTTTAGGGTTTAGGGTTTAGGGTTTAGGGAGCTTGACTGGCGTTCTGTCCATGGAGGTAGAGAACTTGGGAAGAGCTGAAAGTAGGACGGTGTGCAGTGCCTTGAGGGCCGTGATCTGCTTTTTGGGGCTCAAGCATCACGCCACCATCCGATTACGCCACTACTTCTGCCCAAAGGCTCCGCTACCCCTTGACTATTATAAGGAATATTCCTTACACCAAATAAGGAACCCTCTTATCCTCTTAAGGAGCATTCCTGAATCAAGGGGTATTGGAGCCTTGGGGTCTGCCCTGTCGCAAACTTTCGACGGGGCGCTCCATGTGCTTTGATTGGTCCTGCTGCGCAGCCGCCCAATAGCTTCAGCATCTGGCCTGCAAGTACGGCAGCTAGGTGGGGGGCACTAGGGAGCTACAAGGTCAGACGGCAAGGACTCCAGCAAAGCGGACATACGATACCGGGGGTACCTTCTTGGGGTCCCTATGATAAGGGGATCTTACTATGTGGTGGTCTACATTAAGGGGCCCCCATATTCGTAAACCCCCAGATTGTGTAAAGATCTTGAACCTTGTTATTGTTGTGCTCAGATCTCTCAGACTTGGAGACAGTTCACCCCCGGAAAAGACGCAAGCGTGTCTGAAATCAATGCAACGCGCTTATGGGCTGAGGATTGAGGCGCAGTTGGGTGGGGGAGGTGAGTACCTAAAGTTGCACATCCAATGACCCCAAACCCTAAACCCTAGACCCTCAACCCCTACACCTTATTATCTACGATTTGCTTAAGAACCCACAACAGAATATATTATCATAATCCCGATGTTGCCCTTAATACGGAAGAGTATGTTTATATTTTTCGGGGTTCTTAAGCAATTAGTAGTTATGTGTACATATATATATATATATATATATTTGTTTTCCGGGGTTCTTAAGCAATGAGCAGCTATGTACACTTACTCTTTCGCTACAGTCCCTCGAAGCAGCCCAACCCTTCTCCGAGAGCGCCCTCCTCGAAGCAGCTTCTTAGGTCGATGGAGTCGTATGGAAGCATCCCGCTTCACTCTGGCAGCCAGGTGTGAAGGGGGGCGGGGGTCAGGGTTTAGGGTTTAGGGTTTGGGGTTTAGGGTTTAGGGTTTGGGGTTTAGGGTTTAGGGTTTAGGGGGGCGGGGGTGGGGTGTCTGTGGAAACACGTCCCTGTCATCGCGCCTTCCGTTGCGAAGGCCAAGCCGCTTCGCCAAAGGCGGGCAGGGAAACGTTTCTTTTCCATGCGGCATGTGGCCATGTCACCGGTCGCCTACCCCTAAACCCTAAACCCTAAGCCCTAAACCCTAAACCCTAAACCCCAAACCCGAAACCCTGAACCCTAAACCCTAAACCCGAAACCCTAACCCCTAACCCCTAAACCCTAAACCCTAAACCCTAAACCCTAAACCCTAAACCCTCTAAACCCTAAACCCTCTAAACCCTAAACCCAAGTTCAGGTTCAACTTGTGCCCGTTGACATACTGCCTTTTCGGGTCTTGCACTCGGCGATCGATTTCCAAGCTCACTTGGTTTGCACACCCTAGACCCTAGACCTAAACCCTAAACCCTAAACCCTAAACCCTAAACCCTAAACCCTAAACCCTAAACCCTAAACCCTAAACCCTAAACCCTAAACCCTGAGGCCCTGGCTTGTGTTTGTGGCGATCCTTGGGGCCGGTCGCCTAGCACACATTCTGCGGCTTTCAAGGGCTCACGGCACCGGTTTTGCCTCCGGTTTCGCCATTTTTTTTTGGGACCTTGGAAGCAAAAGGGCCGTGAAGCTTTAGTGCGCCTAGGGTTTAGGGTTTAGGGTTTAGGGTTCAGGGTTTAGGGTTTAGGGTTTAGGGTTTAGGGTTTAGACTGGAAGCATGAGGTCCGCTCCTTCCAGCTGCGGCACAAGCACGTGGCCGTTGCGAACGCGCTGACGGTGTCCAGCTTACCTTCGGCCGTCAGCTGACTTGGGATGTGCCCCCGAAAAACTAACAGTCCTTAGTCAGGATTAAAGTACCCCCCCCCCCCCCCCCCCAATTGATACTAACAGTCCTTAATCAGGATTAAAGTACCGCCCCCTCCCCCCCCCCCTATTCTAATCCCTATTGAGGACTGTTAGAATGTTCGAATAAGGGGGAAGATCCCAAGTCAGCTGTAAAGTTGTGCTTTCGTCCTGAAGACGAAGTGGGGTTCGACAAAGAATCCCTTAGATGCCACAGGCTGCTGTATGGCTCTTCACCCTGTCGGCGGCCTGGTTTTGTGTCTCAAACCCTAAACCCTAAACCCTAAACCCTAAACCCTAAACCCTAAACCCTAAACCCTAAACCCTAAACCCTAAACCCTAAACCCTAAACCCTAAACCCTAAACCCTAAACCCTAAACCTCTGGGAACATGCTGGTTCGAGCCACCCCTGAGGTGTGTGGGGTTCTTTGCCTTGGATCGAACCGCGCATCGCCCCCGGCTTCGCTCTTCAGCACCCGGATGTCCCTGAGTAGCGATGGCACAGGATAGGGTTTAGGGTTTAGGGTTTAGGGTTTAGGGTTTGGGGTTTAGGGTTTAGGGTTTAGGGTTTGGGGTTTGGGGTTTGGGGTTTGGGGTTTGGGGTTTGGGATAGGATAGGCCAGGCATACTTCACCCCGAACACCTTCCCGAGGCGGAAGTTTCGTGGGGAGGTCCTCCAGGCCTCGTGGCAGCTTGCCTAAGTGAGCTTGGGGGACTTTTTGGGTGGGCACTTGCCACTCTGCTACTATTTGCTCTTTAAGAACCCCCTCAAAAACATAAAATAGTACAGTAATCCCTATATTGCCCTCATCAGGAGTCTTTTGATTTTTTTGGGGTTTTCTTAAGGAAATCGTAGTCTGCCGTGCATCCAAGGATGAGCTTCACGGCCCTGCCTGCAGCTTACCACAGCTTACCTGTGCTTGGAGGTTCAGGGTACCTAGTAACCCAACTATAAGTGTAGCTACAACCCACTGAAAAGCCCCTTAAGTACCCTCAGTTAAGAGGGTTATAAAGTTGGGTTATAAGTACAGTTCTGATTGGGCTACTAAGTACCATGAACCTCCAAAGTAGGCATGTGCTGCCAGCTCGTGCCCTCAGATGCAGGCAAGCGATGAAGTTTTGTAGCTGCGTTCACAGCATCCCAGGGCCATGCTGCTCGCCGCCTTCTGTGGAACTCTGACAGGGGAGTACAACTATCAGGCAGCTGCCCCCTGTCGCGACACCTCAAGAGTAGCACAAAGAGGTCTCTAGAGTCACCCTGTCAGGTGAACATGTCGCCATACTTTGATGTGGCAATGTTGCAGACCTACCTGGACGTCGATCCAGTAAATGCAAGGTGCGGATCGGCATCGCGTGCTGTGCTGGCTTTGTGGTCCCTAAAAGCCCCAAGAAACCCTAAACCCTAAACCCTAAACCCTAAAACCCACCAAGCCCTCCAAAGACCCTATACTCTTGAAACGCTATAAGCCCCCAAAGGCCCCGTCAGCTCCAAACCCTACCCCCCAAAGCCTCCCAAACACCCTAAAGCCCCAACCTCCAAACCCGAAAAACCTTAAACCCCAAACCCAAAAACCACCCGAACCCCTAAAGCCCCTCAAACCCGAAACGCTAAACCCTAAACCCTAAACCCCAAACCCCAAACCCCAAAACCCCAAACCCCAAACCCCAAACCCTAAACCCCAAACCCCAAACCCCACTGCACGCCCCTAGGGGCGAGCACCTCATGGACGCGGGGCGCATCGTTTTCACCAAGGCTGGTGTCAGCCCTTGCAGGTTCCTTGTAAAAGGGTTTAGGGTTAAGGGTTAAGGGTTAAGGGTGAAGGGTTAAGGGTGAAGGGTTTAGGGTTTAGGGTTTAGGGTTTAGGGTTACTATGACAATAAGCTGATAAGTACCCATGAACCTCAGGTAAGGCTCTTCTCTAGGGTGTTGTGGCCTTTGATTAGGTCAAGAACACTCTGTACACCTGTCGTAGGGTTGGTGAGGCTCAGGTTACTTTAAGCCCGACTACCCCGACACCCTTTAACTTGCTGGTTCTTCCTAAGGAATGAGGGAATGAGGTAATATCCTTCTATGTATACCTTCAAGGGATTATGCAGGGTACCTCATTCCACCATTCCCTACTAAGAGCCAGGGGGCTAAGGTTTCTGTGCAAGCAGCAGGCATCCCACCTGGACATCAAGCGCTCCATGGGGTTCATGGACACCGATGTCTGGTGTGCGGGGCTGCTCAGACAGGGCGTAGTTTAGGGTTCGGGCTCAGCAGCTGCCAGCAGAATCAGCCCGAAGCCCTAAGACCCTAAACCCCAGACTAAACCCTAAACCCTAAACCCAGGTTGCGCCCATCACCACGCGCGACCTGGACGGGAACAGCACAGTTCCCGCCATCGCTGACTTCTGGGCCGTCGGGAAGAATTGCGCCGAGACTTGCATCTAAGACAGTCGCTCTAAGAACTATCTGCTGCTCAAGATGGCCAGTTCTATCAATTAGTGTCCTTTTCTTGTGGGGTACCCTACAGAATAGAGGCCTCCTTGTAAGAAGGACCCCAACAGGGAACATGGTACTACCTCTACTGTTGGTCATCATCACCCTATTGTCATCTCTGCTACCCGCAGAGGCTGTGCGGGCAGCGCAGGAGGCGACTTCCGCTGCGGTTCGCCTGGGACCTACGCCTCAAGTCACTGCCAGACCCTACGCCCTGAGCCCTAAACCCTAAACTGTGAGTCACAGTTGGATGGTGCTGCAACTCAAACCCTCAACCCTAAACCCTCAACCCTAAACCCTCAACCCTCAACCCTTACAAACCCTGGACCGGAGAACCCTAAACCCTAAACCCCTGAACCCGCAAACCCCCAAACCTACATCCTAAACCCCCCCAACGCCCCTAAACCCCTAAACCCCTAAACGCCCAAAATCCCCAAAGACCCTTAAAACCCCTTAAAACCCACAAAAACCCTAAACCCTATGCCCTAAACCCGAAAAAATACCCAAAACCCTAAACCCTACCCTAAACCCTAAACCCTAAACCATAAACCCTCCACCCAGGTGGTCAGATCGCTTCGCCCACGGCGGGCTCCGCCTGCTCGACGAAGCGGAGCGGCCCTTCTACAGGCGACTCCCTGCAGGGTTTAGGGTTTAGGGTTTAGGGTTTAGGGCTTAGGGTTTAGGGTTTAGGGTTTAGGGTTTAGGGTTTAGGGCTTAGGGTTCGGGGTTTAGGGCTTAGGGTTTAGGGTTTAGGGTTTAGGTTTAGGCGACTCCCTGCCTTCTTCTCGCGAAGTAGCAGCAGGTTCAGGTTTCAGGTTTAGGGTTTAGGGTTTAGGGCTTAGGGCTTAGGGCTTAGGGCTTAGGGTTTAGGGTTTAGGGTTTCCGGTTTAGGGGTTTGCATAGGGGACATGCTAGTATCTGGCTCTGATCCATGCTATGCTCCAGGGGGGAGCTTTGGGGGGCTTTTCAGGTCCATGTAGGGTTTGCGGAGCACCTAAAGCCCTAAACCCTAGATCCCTAAAGCCCAAAAACCCGAAAGCCCTAAAGCCCTAAAGCCCCAAGGCCCCAAAGCCCTAAAGCCTATAAACCCTAAAGCCCGAAGCCGCAAAAAACCTTCAACCGTGAGCGCAAGGAACTCCAACCCCCGAGCCGTGAAAGCCCCGATCCCCTGAAACCGCATACAAGTTCCCTGGATGCCTAAACGCCTAAACGCCTAAACCCTAAGCGCCTAAACCCTAAACCCTAAACCCTAAACCCTAAACCCTAAACCCTAAACCCTAAACCCTAAACCCTAAACCCTAAACCCTAAACCCTAAACCCCAAACCCTAAACCCTAAACCCTAAACCTCTCTACCATATAACCCTAAATGTTAAACATAATCCATTTCTGTTTTTTCACCCCCCCGTTGTTCAGCACCAATTGGAGAATTTGATCCATTTCGACCCCTCCGACCCCCTTGACACCCCCATTGTTCAGCACCAATTGGAGAATTTGATCCATGTCGACCCCTCTTTGAAACACCAGGCCTTGAGGCCCTGAAACCCTGAACACCAGGCCGTGAGGCCTTGAACCCTAAACACCAGGCTGTGAGGCCTTGAAACAAAGGGGTCGGAGGGGCTGAACAACGGGGGGGTAAAGGGGTCGGAGGGGCCGAAATGGATCAAATTCTCCAATTGGTGCTGAACAATGGGGGGGTCAAAGGGGGCCTCACGGCCTGGTGTTTAGGGTTTCAGGGCCTCAAGGCCAGGGCCTCCCGGCCTGGTGTTCAGGGTTTCAGGGCCTCAAGGCCTGGCGTTTAGGGTTTCAAGGCTTCACGGCCTGGTGTTTGGGGTTTCAGGGCCTCAAGGCCTGGTGTTTAGGGCTTCAAGGCCTCAAGGCCTGGTATGGCCTGGTATGGCTTGTATTAAATGCTTGGTACTACGGCGTGATTGTTTTGTGTATTGGTGCATCCGAAGAGAAATATTGAACCTTCGATTATCGTAATGTTATGGGATTCTTTGGGCGGGTGGGTTTTTTCCGTTGCCTACACACACTGCTGGCCTAGTAAATGCTCGAACTTGAGATGCTGAACCCTAAACCCTAAACCCTAAACCCTCTTAACCCTAAACCCTAAACCCTAAATGCCCCAACCCCTCCCCAACAAAAACCCTATCGCGGAGGCTGGCGGTCCACCAGGCGCAGGCAGCCTTCAACCTCCAGGCCCCGGTGTTTTTTTTTATTTTATTATTTTTTGTTTTTGTTTTTGATATTTTTTAATATGTATAACATATATATGGATGTATATGTTTTGTTTTGTTATAGTGGTATTTGTTTCGTATGTGATCTTTGTTTTTTTTTAAGATTCTCATTTTTGTGACCTGTGTTTTTGTTTCAGGGTGTTAGATTTTCTTGATTCTTTTTGACTACATGCTTAGCTTTTGTAGCCTATAGCACAACCAAAGAGCCCTTTAAATTTGTTACTTTTGCGTGGGTTCTTGGAAGGTATGCCCCCTCCTCCTGGATTCATTTTTCTTGGAGTGTGCGTGTGTACATACGAGAATGGGTTCATGCCCCGCGCCGCATTTGGCACGGGTTTGGGGTTTAGGCGGTTTAGGTTTAGGGTTTAGGGTATAGGGTTTAGGGTTTAGGGTTCAGGGTTTAGGGTTCAGGGTTTAGGTTTTAGGGTTTGGGGGTGCTCTTGACTGCTAATGTTCAGAACTGCAGCAGGGGGCCAGAAGGACAGGAGCTTAAAGCACGCTGCCTGGAACGTACGATGCGCTTTTCAAAAGTCGAGCCTTCTTTCGCTTTATCAGCCATGTCTTGTTGAAAGTCAGGATTTAGGGTTTAGGGTTTAGGATTTAGGGTTTAGGGTTTAGGGGGCCTCAGGTGGGTTTAGGGCTTCGTGTTTCGGGTTAAGGGTTCAGGGAGTACAACACGTCGAAGATGGTAGTCCAGTCCTTTGCTGCGAGCTCGTGAGAAGCTTGATGCATGATGACACGCGGTGAGGTGTGGGATGCTGCCCTGTGAATTGTCCATCACATCAGCGTGCGCATGTGTGGGTTGGGTTTGGGGGGGCTTCAGGGTTTTGCGTTTGGGGGCTGAAGAATCTGATGGGTTCGCCCCCCGCTGTTTTGCAAATCGTCTCAGGTGGCTTGGCCAACAAGCTTGCTTCAGGGATGGGCATTCAGAGTTTTAGGGTCTGGGGCCCAATCTGTTGAATGGTGCCTCGTCCACCGACGGCATGCAGTTCCCGTGCTTCTCCCCTAAACCCTAAACCCTAAACCCTAAACCCTAAACCCTAAACCCTAAACCCTAAGCCCTAAACCCTAAACCCTAAACCCTCCTGCTGAAATTGTGGCAGGTGCTTCATCCCATCTTCCTGCATTGGATGCCTGAGCCTGTGGAGGACAGCCGCGCTTACAGCCGAAACCCAAACCCCTAAACCCTAAACCCTAAACCCTAAACCCTAAACGCTAAACCCTAAACCCTAAAGCCTAAAGCCTAAAGCCTAAGCCCTAAGCCCTAAGCCCTAAAGCCTATGCCCTAAGCCTTCAACCCTAAACCCTAAACCCTAAACCCTAAACTTCATGACCTCCATAGGTTGCTCCTCAGCCCGGCAGGAAGTCGAGGCGTACAAGAAGGGAGGACACAGGCGCGGCCTGCGTCCGTCGCGGAGTCTTCCAGCTTCTGTGCCTGACTGCTCTGCACTTCCCAGCTGGTTCTGAGTAGGGAATGAGGGAATGAGGTACTATATTACCCTTTAAGGGTATATATATATATATAGAGAGACTGTATAGACATATATATATATATATATATATATACCCTTTAAGGGGATTATGTAGGGTGCCTCATCTTCCCTCATTCTCTACTAAGAACCAGCTGGATTCTGGGAGGTTCTTCCGGATCTCGGTCACGTCATATTTCTGGTTTCAGTGCGCCCTCGCCAGCCCCCCGGTGTCCAAACACGGGGGTCTGCTCAACCCTAAACCCTAAACCCTAAACCCTGAACCCAAAACCCTAAACCCTAAACCCTAAACCCTAAACCCTAAACCCTAAACCCTAAACCCTAAACCCTAAACCCTAAACCCTAAACCCTAAACCCTAACCCCTAACCCCTAAGCCCAGGCTTTCGGCTAGCCAGCTTGCAAGTAGTGCACGTGCCAGTTTTCGAGAGGCCTCCCCTTTGGCCACACCGCCTCTAAGAGGCAAGTTTCACCTATCTTCGAAGCCATGACAGACCCAGCGCGTGGAAGCCAGGAACAGTTCCAAGCAGCCTTCCAACAGCAAAGGGAGTTCTACGCTGGCAGAACGGAGATCCGTACAGTACAGGGGGCGTTCTTTGAGGAGCACAGTCGCAAGAGGCGTGAGCCCCCCACGCCGGTCGCCTCAGGGCTGACCACACCGCAGGAGGGCACCCCAGTTCCGACAGACGGCCCGGTGAGTGGATTGGTGGTACCAACCCTTCTGGAAGATGAAACGGCCTTCCAAGTCACAGCCGGTGAGTTGGGCGCAGATGTGAACAACCCGCAATCGGTGCAGCAGGTTTTGGCCGCTCCTGTCCACACCGCCAAGGACGTGTTGCGCATCGTTCGTGGGTACCACAAGGCAGTGGTGCGTCCTGAAATGTACGGCCTCGTGCTGCAGCTGGAAAGTGCGTTGCTCAAGGTGAACGACGCAGTCTTTAGCTGTCGCCGTGAACTGGCCTTCATGACGGCAGACAATCGCTCGGAGCAGAAGAGGTCGTGCGGCTTGCTACTGGTCACAACTGGCTGGCCCAACGGTCTCAAGCCGGAGCAACGTGAGTTCATGATCGGCTGGATGATTGAGCAGCTCCCAGAGGCACAGAATTTCCTGCGCAACCGTGGGTTCCTTCGCGAGGATGCCGACCACACCGCCCAACACGCGCAGATGTGGTTCAATATCCTCAACACGGACCCTACCACGGTACCCCAGGGTACCTTCTGGAGTGGAATGACGATGCTGCACTTCAAATCCTGGGACCTTCGGCAGGCATTTTTAAAGCGGTATGGAGGGCAGGGTGGAACCCCTCTCTACACCGCCCCCACGGTGCCAATCACCGGCAAGCACGTCCGCGTCTCACCTTGTTCACCTCAGTGGCAGCGAAAACTAGAGATGCCACTGAGGGTCGTCATTTCGGTGCTGAATGCACACCCTGAAACACAGGGAAAGAGGCTCATCATCCTTTGGAAAAGCCTCACAATTATGGAGCCAGTCGAGGGTCCGGACTTTAAACCCGACCACACCGCCTGGTGTCGGCTTTTTTACGAGGAAGCCGAAGGCTCCTTTCAGGCCCGGTTGGAGACGGCCACACCGCTGACCCGTATCATGCACTCTCCTCCTACCACGGTGGGGTGTAAGGAGGAGACGCTTTTTGCAGAACACTGGAATACGGTGATCTGGGGCACGCAATTCGAGTTGGATGAAATGGAGCGTATCGCTTACCGGCAGGCCAAGAATGATGGCCACACCGCCGGAAAAGGGACCTTTGTGGGAAAATCCCGCAAGCATTGGTCCAATGTAGTGCTCCACAACTCCTATTTCTCGCCGTACCCTTTTGAGCTCCAGCACAACGCAGTGGAGCAAGTTGCGTTCGTCTGGGACGAACTTTGTCAAAAGATGGGCGTCCCAGAACAACAGGTGGGCGACATTGCAGCCGCCACCTACCAAGGGAAGCCCGTCGCACCCGACGCCGCTAGCCACACCGCCGCGGCAGAGGACGTAGAGATGGAACGTTCCGAGAACCCTTTTGCAAAGGCCCCACCGCCCACAAGCAAGGGCGCAGGCAAGCAAGGCCACACCGCCTGACGGGGTCCTCTTAGCATGCTCACCACGCTCCCCGACATTTTAAGGGTCAGAGCTCAGAGCAAGGTTCTGCATGTTTCTTTTTCGTTGCGCGCCTGCACTCCACCTTTGAAACTTTCTAACAGGAGAAGAGGGGCCAATGACCACACCCCCATACAGTCAGGGGTTAATTCGCTTTCTTTTCTGACTCCCGATCTGGACCCTACAAAGAACCAAGCACAACGCCTTTGTAGTCAAAGAACTAGGAACAAACTTATGCATGCTATTACGGGTAATACCACGACCACCACCCGACCCAAGTTGACCCTAAGGTTGGAGGCCTTACTCCCAATTAGCCCAATATCCGATCTCCAGTACTCCAAATATACCTTGCTTCAGTTTAGAGGGGTTTGTAGTGAGTCACCTCCACTGCTCAGGTTGGAGCCATCGGTCAACCTCTCCGAGACCACACCGCCTAGTGTCACCCCACTTAAGTCCTCACCCTCCAGAACTGGTAGACGTAGAAGGACCCGCCTTGCTAATGGTACATGGCACAATTTTAAACCCCTTCGTAGAAGAACACACCCTAGAATTCGAAGAATTAAAGGAATTCATCCTCAGCTGGAATACCGCCGACCACCGCCTCCGAGAGGCAAGCCGGGATCTCCTTTTGGAGAGCACGAAGAGTGTCCCCACAAGGGAGGGTGTCACATTGATAGGCCCAGGGGAGTCAATGCTCGTAGGACCTCTCGTAGGTGCTACAGGCAATGGCAGCAGGCCTGCAAAAATACAAAGGCTCTGAGGGCGGACTCCTCAGCAGCCACACCCCCCCAGTCCACAAAAGCCCCCCAAAACAGGGCACAGTGGTTCAGGACAAACGTCCTATGGCAGCAAAAAATCACACGGAAAAAGAAGCCTAAACAGAATGGGCCCCAGACCACACCGCCTCTAGCTTACAATCGCAAGCTTAGAGTCGGTAGTCAGAATGTGCAAGGTATGGCTGATACCCTCAAGCTCAAAAACCTGTTGCTTATGATGAAGGAACACAACCTGGATGTTATGTTCCTATCAGAAACTAAATCGACTTCGTATTACTCCTATACCTCAGAGCAACACTTAGTCGTTTTGTCTGGTAATAACAAAGATAAGCACTCTGGGGTAGGGGTTATAGTGAGTCCAGACATCCGACCACACCTTGCTGACATAGTCCAGGTCAACAATAGGCTTATTCATATCATACTCAACAAGAGGGGAGGTAGGATACACTTGTTAGGAGCGTATGCGCCACATTCAGGTCATGATCATGACACAGTTCGGCAACCGTTTTGGGAATCCCTAGAGGAATATGTGGCGAAAATACCCCAACCAGAACCAGTGTATCTTACGGGTGATTTTAATGTTCGGTTTCAAGCACAACACAAACATGATGAGGGCGTTACAGGGCCATTCACATACGGAAAGGGTTCGCAAGCTATCGACCACACCGCCCAATCCAACCGCTCGTTGTGCGTTCGAACAATGCTTCTTCTAGATATGCTGGAGGTCGCCTCATACAAAACACCCAACCCAGTTCACCACATCACTTTCCGGGATAAAACAGCCCCCCCAAAGGATTGGTCGCAGTACGTCTTGGACCCTTTGATCATGCAGCAGGTGTATTCAGAGCTACATAGAGTGATGCCATCACAATCCTTGGAAGTAGCGGCCAGAATACGCAGCTTCTTACCGCTGGCGCAACCTCTTCCTCCGCCCCGAGTAGATCCCTCACCCGACCCCGTTCGCTTTCAGCGGCTAGACCACACCTTCACTAGGAGACAATGGCTTTCATCCGTTAACTCATGTAGATCTAAATTGCATACAGGGTACCCGTCGGACCATTATCTCCTGGTAACGGAAGTGCAGGTTAAGTTGGCACGTAGAGACCCCCCACCACCAAAGCCCCCAGAATTTGACTTCTCTAGAGTAAGCATTGATCAAAGACTGGCTTATAACGCACAAATTCGGGGCTCCCCGCAAAGTAGCCGCAAGGATGGGTCTTCTGACTCTGACCACACCGCCAGAATGAGCTTCTTACGGACGGCTCGGGAACAGGTGGACGATGCACAAAAACAACACCAGCGGGCTGGGGATGGTGTACCAAGCAACACGGGGAGTGGATCACCGCGCGGGGCAGGGTGGAAACTGACCACACCGCCAGATTTTACTATGGGGCCCAGGTAGGTTCTAACAACACTGGGGAGCTGACAGCTATTATAGAGGCACTATTATACGCCTTGGAGCAAGGGTGCGGTAGAGTAGATATATACTCGGACAGCCAGTGGGCCATCAACGTCATCACGGGCAGATGGCGTGCAAAATCACATAAAACACTAGTTGGCCGTGCACACACACTCTCAACACAAACAGGAATGACAGTCTCGTTTCATTGGGTCAAGGCGCACGCAGGCACCGAAGGTAACGAAAAGGCGGATGCGCTCGCCAACGCTGGGCGTACACAGGGGCGCAACGGCGGAAGTAACATGGTTCCCCCGGACACTCCGCCCCAGGACCACACCCCCACCATGTCAGCGGACACCATGGTGCACGCCATGAAGCAGGCTGCGGCGGATCACTTTCCTTACAAAGAACGACGCGCGCACACACCATGGATCAAAGATCACACCCTACAGCTCCTGGCCCAGGCACGGGCAGCGCAAGCGGAAGGTCGCGAAGATTGGAAAACGCAAAGAAACAAAGCCAAGAGGGCAGCGCGCAAGGATAGAATCGACTGGGTTCATGACCAACTTTTAGCAGACCCGGATGCCAGTCACTCACCGCTTTGGAATGCAGTTCGCCGACAGAAAAAAGGTTTCGTGGGGAAAAAATCGCATCTAATTGTAAACGGGAAGCCAGTCCCATGGTCAAAATCGCACGCCGCTTTCAGGGATCACCTCGAGGGTTCGCAATGGGCTCCGCCCAACATCCCTGACCACACCGCCGCTAGACGTAAAGCTAGACCGGGATTACGTCCACAACTCCCTGATGAAGGACGGTTCACTTTGGACGACCTTCAACGGGCCATTCAAAAAAGTAAAGGCGGAAAGGCTCCGGGACCGGACCAGGTGAGGAACGAGCTGTTTATGCTATTAGACAGGGAAGGAGAAGCAGCGCTCTTGAATATCTACAACAAATGTTGGGCAGAAGGCGACATCCCGGGACCATGGGCCGAAGCAATAGTAGTGTCAATATATAAGGGTAAAGGCCTAGACACAGACGTCACCAACTATCGACCCATTTCTTTACTTAACACCATTTACAAAATATACGCTGCTATGCTACAACACCGCCTCGCAAAATCAAGTGAGCATTTCCTTCGCAGTCGACAGTACGGTTTTCGAGAAGGTAGAGGCACACAACAGCCCATATTTGTTTTACGCCGCGCCATGGAGTGGGCGGAAATGACAAACAAACCATTACAACTATTATTCCTAGACTGGAAACAGGCCTTTGACTCACTCGACCACACCGCCATGCTCGAGGCGTTGCGCCGTTTCGGTGTTTCAGAACTTATGCTCAAGACAATACAGGCTATATATCAGTCTCCAACCTTTTACACCAGAGGACCCGACCACACCGCCGCAGCAGGCTCTGTACACTCAGGTATTAGGCAAGGATGTCCCCTAAGCCCATATCTGTTTATTATAGTACTCACAGTCATGCTTGCGGATGTTGATAACGACTTACTACTCCAAGGCACGCCCACCAACACATGGTCAGAAGGCTATCCAACGTTCGATTTAGAGTACGCGGATGACACATTGTTGTTAGCTTTGACCACACCGCAGATGCAGGCCATTCTCACATCATTAGAGTCAGTAGCACATGAATACGGTATGCACCTAAATAAAACCAAGACTGAGCTCCTAATCAATCCCGATCGCCCCTCCTCTCCGCTATACTTTACGGATGGCGCGACCGTCCCGACCACACCGCAAATCAAGTATTTAGGCACCAGGATCACATGGAAAAAACCCTTTGACGCCGCATTCTTACATAGAGCAGCTATAGCCGAGGAAGCATTTAAGAAGCTCCGCCTAGTATGGAACAGTAGCCTTTCCCAGGCGGTACGTTTACGTATTTTCCAGTCTACCTTCACGCCCACACTTATTTACGCGTTGGATACCCTCACTCTTACGCAAAAACAACTAGACAGGGTGGATGCTTTCTTCATTCGGTTCCTAAGAAGAGTGGTTCGCGTCAAAGCATCCTACTACTCCCGCATCCCAAACACGGAAGTTATGAGAAAAGCAGGATATCCAACCCTACCATCTACACACATCCTCAACGCCCAGCATAAAACCCTTAAACAAGTATTTATGGCCCCCAGAGCGGAACCAACACATAGTGTGGTTTTTACAGCTGCCTTTAAGGACCGTATTCTAGCGCAAGGAAGACGTCGCGGAATGCAGATACCATACTGGTTAGAAGTCCTCACTAAAAGATTTTACCCGCAGTATTGGGATCCTGACCACACCGCCCGTACCCGCACCCTAGGCCCACACTTCAAGTATGTCGAAATAGCTAGGGTCATTCGGGAGTCAGACAGTTCCGGGAGGGCGCCAAAGCGCGCAGCTGCATCGCGCGCACGGCCCTGACAAAAAAAAACCCCTAAGCCCTAAACCCTAAACCCTAAACCCTAAACCCTAAACCCTAAGCCCTGTCGGCAGCACTTCACAACGTAAAGATGTCCCCTTGAATCGGAGCCCGAGGTGTTCGTGGCCGTGTTCATCGTTACCCAGCAACGGCCCCAGACAGCTTGGCGCAAGGGTTTAGGGTTTAGGGTTTAGGGTTTAGGGTTTAGGGTTTAGGGTTTAGGGTTTAGGGTTTAGGGTTTAGGGTTTAGGGTTTAGGGAGGCCCAAAAGCGCCTCACTGGACGAACACCTCAAGGGGGACTGAGGTGGTTTAGGGTTTTGGGGTTAAGGGTTTCGGAAGATTGTACTTGAAGGTTCGTGGGCACTTGTGCGTAGGGTCATAAGTACCCTAAGCACGGGTTATTTCAGAGTTATCCCTACTCATAACCCTCCCTAATCAGACGTACCCATGAAACCTCCAGCAAGTCTTAAGGTTCGATCTTTTTCCCAATTAGTGCCAGCTGAGACCTAAGGTGATGGCCTCGGCACTTTCGAAGGACGCAGGTGCTACCGTGCCACAGCTCTTGAGAAAAAGACTCGTGCCAAGTGGCTGACAGCGCGATTCTCTCCGCAGGCCCATACCCCAGTGCGGGGTCTAAACTATTTTCCAAGGGGGCCGCGATTGGAGTAACAGAACATGTACATATGTACACAGAAAAAACTGGCCATTATAAATGTCAGTGTAAAGAAAGCAAAGCATATATATTTTTTATATGTATGTATGTATGTATGTATGTATGTATGTATGTATGTATGTATGTATGTCTGTATGTCTGTATGTATATATATATATATGTGTGTATATATATACATACATATATACATACATATATACATATACATATACATTTACATATACATATACATATACATATGCATATACATATACATATACATATACATATACATATACATATACATATACATATACATATACATATACATATACATATACATATACATATACATATACATATACATATTCGCAAATATTCAGAATGTACAGCATATACATATATGTATATAAATGCATAGATGTTTCTATGTATGTGTACAATATATATATATATATATACACATATGTTTGTGTGTGTGTGCACAATATATACATATACGTATATATGTTCACTATATATGTAGGTATATAGAAATAGATAGAACATGTTCCAAGAACACCAATGCCGACTCCGGAAGTCGGCAGCACCTCCGAGCCGCAAAGGGGGGGACACCGGGGGGGGGGGGGGGGTTTAGGGTTTAGGGTTGAGGGTTGAGGGTTTAGGGTTTAGGGTTTAGGGTGGCATCTTTTGTTCCTCCACGCCAGGCACGGGGGCCTCGGGGAGCCTCGCCGAGACACTGGCAGTGGCCTGTGGAAGCCATCCTGCCTTCCGCCCCTTGGAGAATTTAGGGGGTGGGGGAGGGCTGGTTTAGGGTCTAGGATGTAGGGTTTAGGGTTTAGGGTTTAGAGTTTAGGGTTTCGAGTTTAGGGTTTAGGGTTTCGGGCTTAGGGTTTAGGGTTTCGGGGTTAGGACAAGTAGTAGAGTTTTTTATTTGTGAAGTTCATGCAATGTCGTGATGAGGTGGTACTACTCAGCAGCATGCAGCAAAAGCAGGTTGAGATGCGCGGTGGGGGGTTGGAGAGGGGGTGACCGGGGGGTGGGACGAGGGGTCAAGGGAGGTACAGTATCCAAGAGGGATACCCTAAACCCTCAACCCTAGACCCCAAACCCTAAACCCTAAACCCTATCTTTCTAAGGTCGTGCAAGTGGCCGTGACAGCAGGCGCTCAGTCAGAGTCAGTTCCAACAGTCTTCAGACGTCCAGCGCGCACTTGCCAGCCACCTTTTCGGCGTGAAGCACTTTGCGGGGGAGGTCTTCTATGAGGACCGCTGAAGGGAAAAGCCACTAACCCTAAACCCCAAACCCTAAACCCTAAACCCTAGACCCTAAACACTAAACCCAAAACCCTAAATCCTAAACCCTAAACACAGTCCCTGTTGCCTGAGAACCTCGAGGCGGCAAACTTTGTTCGCAAGAATGCGAGCGCCCACCGTCCGGACATTTCGGCTTTCTTGAGGTCCGGAACTCAGCGACGAAGAAGAAGAAGAAGAAGAAGAAGAAGAAGAAGAAGAAGAAGAAGAAGAAGAAGAAGAAGAAGAAGAAGAAGCAGAAGAAGTAGCAACCCCCCCCCCCCCCCCCCCCCCCGGCAAATATCCAAGGGTTTGGTGGCATCCACCTGCACTGAACATGCAAGGATCATGTGAACTTCAGAACCCGCAACACCCGAGTTTTAGCAGATATCGGCGCAATACCTTGCTCTTTCATTCTGGAATCCTCTGTCTCCGCGCGAATCTCGGGGTGTGCGCCTGGCACCAAACAGTTAAACACGTCGTGAGTTCTGAAAGATTTTGGCCTTTTTTTGGGTGGCCTAAGTGGGGACCGCTCTAATTTTGAGACCTACCCATGTGTTGTCAAAGGTTTGGCAGCGAGCCTCGAAACCGTCCTTACAAAATGACCTTGCAAGAGTGGTTCCTTGCAAGGGTGGTTCCAAGGGGGCCCGAATTCAGGGCACCTTTTTTGGGTCCCATATGTAGTACTGTTCTGCAGGCCCTCATGTACTCTGTGGTGCTTTACTGTAACTTTAGATCCTTAGCCTTTTTGGGTTTATTGGGTTTCTTAATAAGGCAGCTGCCCCACGGCAATGAAAAACAAGGCAGCTAGAAAGTAAATTTCTAGCTACCATGCTAAGTGCATCCAAGTTTAGAGAACTACCCATATGCATGGCCGGGTGCGGAGTGGGGTACGCTGCCCTGCCACAGGTCGAGACACTCGCAACTTGCGAGCGTGTGCCAGATTTAGGGTTTAGGGTTTAGGGTCTAGGGTTTTTGGAGGATCGTACTTGAAGTTTCGTTTGGGCGCTTGCAAATAAAGTTATAAGCATCCTAGAACAGGTTTTAATCATCTTTGCCCTAAACCCTAAACCCTAAACCCAAAACCCTAAGACCCTAAACCCTAAACCCTGAACCCTACATAAAGCCAAGCACCCCACGAATCTCCGCAAGTTTTCACGGCATGGTGATTGGGCTGCAGCAGTGCACGGACACGTGCAGGGAGCACGGTGGCAGCTTCATCCGGCAGGCCCCGTACTTCTATTACTATTTTTATCATTGTTATTATTAATATTATTGTTATTATTGTTATTATGATAATGATTATCATTATTATGATTATTATGATTACTATGAGTATTATGATTATTATGATTAGTATGATTGTTAGGATTGTTATGATTCTTATGATTTTTATGATTATTATGATTATCATGATTATTATGATTATTATGATTATTATGATTACTATGATTATTTTGATTATTATGATTATTATGATTATTATGATTATTATGATTATTATGATGATTATGATTATTATGATTATTATGATGATTATGATTATTATGATTATTATGATTATTGTGATTATTGTGATTATTGTGATGATTATGATTAGATTATTCTGATTATTATGATTATTCTGATGATTCTGATTAGATTGATTGCACAGTGCTGGCAGAGACGAAAGCACATCATGCCTGGCATGCGCTTTTTTGATTTCAGATGGTCAACACAGACGAGACGAAGCAGATGGAAGCAGCCAGGCCTGTGCAGATTCAAGCTATCCAGTTTGTTGTCAGCCGAGACTTGGGTGTCTAGCAGCGGACTGGGCGTCCTAGAGAATTCAGCACCTGGATATCTCAAAGCTTAAACGCAGCACGCAGTAGATCGAAGGTAACTCCTCGGCAGTCTCACAGGCAACGCCCGCAGCAGTAGCGCTGCCGCAAAGCCCTACGCACCATATCAAGCTCGTATCCTTAACCCCTAAACCCCAAACCCCAAACCCCAAACCCTAAACCCTAAACCCTAAACCCTAAACCTTATAGAAGCCCCGAGCCTCCACTTGCCGCAAGGCGCGGGCGAAAGCTGTTTGGGCGGACGCTCATCAACATCTTCCAGCAGGCCGGAGCAATTTTTGGGGTTTAGGGTTTCGGGGTTTAGGGTTTAGGGTTTGGGGTTTAGGGTTTAGGGTTTTGGGATTAGGGTTTGGTGTTTAGGGTTTCAGGATATGAGCCTGATGTGGGGCGTAGGGTCATGAGTCACGAGTATGTTATAAAGGCCGGTGGTTTCTTTATCTGTTACCCTTATACGTTAATATAGCCCCTAGATATCCTAATAAGAATCCCCTACATAACAGAAACCCTACTTAAGGAGACCACCAGCCAACATAACGAGTATGATCTGATATGCTACATTGTCTGAGCATGTGTTACGTCATTTTGCAAGCTGTGATATGATATGCAATGATATGACGTTAGTTTCTAACAGCAATAGTAAAGGGGTGTGTGGGTATATATATATATACATATCTATACGCGTACCTGCACACTCGCACACACACATGTATTTATGTATGTATGTATGTCTGTATGTATGTCTGTATGTATGTATGTATATATATATATGTATATGTAGAAATACAAACACATGTATGTATACAGATATGCAAGATGCGAATCTCTGACTTACGAGCCCTCCTGCACAGACGCCAGACTTTGCCAGGAGCTGAACGAGCTTTGCTCGACGCTGGAAGCCAGAGACTGCCAGGGCCTTACCACGAATCAGCGGGGCGGTCTAGGGTTTAGGGTTTAGGGTTTAGGGTGTAGGGTTTAGGGTTTAGGGTTTAGGGTTCTGGTTTAAGGTTTAGGGATAGGGTTTAGGGTTTAGGGTTTGGGGTTTAGGGTTTAGAGTTTAGGGTTTAGGGTTTAGGGTTGTGGGCGTCCCTTGTGCAGGCCGGCACATTCGCTGCCTGAGACCGAATGATGAACAGGTGGGAGCTTAAAACCCTAATTTCGAAACCCGCTGACCCTAAACCCTAAAGCCTCAACCCTAAACCCTAAACCCTTGAAAGCCATACCAGAAGCCCTGTTCCAGAAGCCCTTGTTCTTCGACGACAAGTCTATGCTTCGGCAATGCCGCTATAGTGGGTTGCTCGAGGCAGGGATGAGAACGCGGTGTGTCAGGGTCTAGGGTTTAGGGTTTAGGGTTTAGGGCCTCCTGCTCTCCAACCACGCAAGGGCAGGCGCACGCATGAAGACCTGCACGTGGGGTAGAGCCATATTGTGCCGCAAAATTAGGGTCCCTTTTCGGGGTTAGGGTTTAGGGTTTCGGGTTTAGGGTTTAGGGTTTAGGGTGTAGGGTGTAGGGTTTAGGGTTTAGGGTTTAGGGTTTAGGGTTTAGGGTGCCGGGTCTAGGGTCTAGGGTTTAGGGTTTAGCATAGGTTTTAGAGTTTAGGGTTGCTTCGGGGGCAGTTCCCTGGCATGACGTTTCGGATTGTCGTTGCTGGCTGTCGAGGTACCGTCGCCCCACCGCAATCCCTAAAACCCTACCCCACAACCCTGAACCCTGAACCCGAAACCCTGTAGCAGTCCTTAATAGGGTTTTAGTACCCCCCCCCCCCTCCCCGCCCCAGTCCTTAATAGGGATTATAGGGTTAATATAAGGAGGAACATCCCAACCTAAAACCTTATGAAGGCCTTGACCCTACGACCCTAAACCCCACTAAGCCCTATAAAACCCTACTCAGTTCCTGCTTTCTGTGTCCAGCTGCCAGGCGACGCGTATCCGAAGGCAGGGCTACGCCCATCGAAGGTCGCTCTCACACTTTGCATCAAGGCTCGCTGCTCTTGCTGCGTTGGGGTTGAGAGTTTGGTTTCTTTTTTGGGTTTCGGTGAGTGCCTGTGAGGTTTCCGTTCAAAAAGTGGCGAGAGCGGATCTGGGTGTCCGTTTGAGGATACGGGCAGCAAAGGGGCTAGCTACGCCCTGAGCCCTAAAACTTGAGATGTTCCCCCTTATACTAACAGTCCTTAATAGTGTGTTTCGGCCCCCCCCCCCCCCCCCCAGTCCTTAATAGGGATTATAGGGTTAGTAGAAGGGGGAACGTCCCAACCTAAAGCCCTAAACCCTAAACCCTAAACCCTAAACCCTGAACCCTGAACCCTGAACCCTGAACCCTAAACCCTAAACCCTCAACCCTAAACCCTATGAAGGCCTTGACCCTAAGACCCTAAACCCGACTAAGCCCTATAAAACCCTAGACCCTACGAAGCCCGAAGCCGCGACGCCCTACATCTCCCAAACCCTGACCCGAACCCTAAACCCTAAACCCCAAACCCCAAACCCCAAACCCCAAACCCCAAACCCCAAACCCCAAACCCCAAACCCAAACCCCAAACCCCAAACCCCAAACCCCAAACCCCAAACCCTAAACCCTAAACCCTAAACCCTAAACCCTAAACCCTAACCCCAGGTACGCACTACTTCTGGCCACTCCAGAGGCCTCTGCCGCAACCGGTTTCTAAAACCCTGCTTCTAAGGTCAGCCCTAAACCCTAAACCCTAAACCCTAAACCCTAAACCCTAAACCCTAAACCCTAAACCCTAAACCCTAAACCCTAAACCCTAAACCCTAAACCCTAAACCCTAAAACCCTAAAACCCTAAACCCTAAACCCTAAACCCTAAACCCTAAACCCTAAACCCTAAACCCTAAACCCTAAACCCGCCCGCCACCCCACTCTCTTGTCTTTTGGGGTAGGCGGGCGCTGGTCGAGCGCTCAGTGAGACCCTGCGAGGGAGCCCCAGGCGGGCGACCGAGCTGGCCTCCAGGCTGGCTTACCCTCCAGGCAGGCACAGGCCGTTGTCACTTTTTTTTTTTTTTTCCCTAAACCTCAGCTGTGCGCGCCTGGGACGGCCCCTTGAAACCCCTGTCCATCACCCCCGTCCGCTGGACTGGAGGGGACCAGGGGCCGTTTTGTTGAGGCAGGCAGGGCCCTGATGGCCCTGGCCCTGCCCTGGCCCTGGCCCTGGCCCTGGCTCTGGCCCTGGGCCTGGCCCTGGGCCTGGCTGGCCCTGGCCCTGGCCCTGGCGCTGGCCCTGGCCCTGGCCCTGGCCCTGGCCCTGACCCTGGCCGCCCTGGCTTTGGCCCTGGTTCTGGCCCTGGCCCTGCCCTGGCCCTGCCCTGGCCCTGGCCCTGGCCCTGGCCCTGACCCTGGCCCTGGCTTGGCGCAAGGGGGTAACTCAGGCCAAGCGGCCAGGGCCAGGACCGCAAAACTAGTCAGGGCGGGTCAGGCCCAAAGCCAGGAGGCGGGGGCCAGGGCCAGGGCCGGGCCAGGGCCAGGAGGCGGGGGCCAGGGCCAGGCCAGGCCCAGGGCCAGGACAGGGGCCACAACGGCTGGGCCAGGGCAAGCTGTCCGCACACCAGTTTGTGTCTGTTTCGGGGCTCTCCCTCTGGCTTTAGCCCCTTCGCACCAACCCAATCTGTCCTGCCTCGCTTCCGTTTGCTGCAACTTTGTGCCTGGTCCTGACCCTGGTTCGGCACCCCACCTTACCCCGTTCGCGCCAAGCCAAGCTACCAGCCCTGTTTTCGTGGTTTTTTTGGTTAACCCAAGCTGTTCACTGTGTGTTCTTCCTGGCTGGAGCCCCTTCGCGCCAACCAAGCCTCGCTGCCTTTCTCTGTTCCTGGCCCATCCCTTAGCCCCTTCGCGCCAACCCAAGCTGTCTTCACAGACCCTGCCTCGTTTGCGTCTGCTGCAGCTTTGCGCCTGGTCCACGCACCTTGTGGCAATCCGCAAAAAGGGTGTGAGTGCTGACTCATGTGATGCTTTGTAAAAAAATAAAAGGTCTTAACTCCTTGAGAGTTGTAAGTGGGCGGTCTTGGGGTGGGTAGGTCTGCAGACTACCGCGCGCTCCCAAAGCGCGCTCCCGTCTGGCACGCCCTAAACCCTAAACCCTAAACCCTAACCCGAAACCCTAAACCCTAAACCCTAAACCCTAAACCCTAAACCCTAAAGCCTAAACCCTAAACCCTAAACCCTAAACCCTAAACCCTAAACCCTAAACCCTAAACCCTACATGGTCCCTTACCCTTGTTTATAGGCATCCGAAGTATGGGCCCTTATTAGAGGTAGTGTATAGAAGGGTTATATAGCAAGGGACCCAAATGTGGCCATACTTCGGATCTCCTGTTATAAGTAGGGTTTTCAGTTGTAGGTAGGATTGCCAGTAGGGCTGTAAGTCGGGTAACTATGGTTTTAACCTTATTTTGGTTCCTATACAACCTTACTTCTAAGCACCCATGAAATTCCGAGCAAGCCTGAAACCCGTGGCTTGTTCGGTCATGTTCTCAAGCTAGTTGGGCTTGTTGGGCCTTCAGCAGAGGATTTAGGGCTTGGGGGTTGTTAGGGCTGAAAGTTTAGGGCTTTGGGGCGTTCGGGTCTATACGGACAGTTCTCTGCATGGTCATCTCCTGTTTGGTGTCCCTGTTACACGTTGGGAAGGATCATAACTTCGAGAACTGACCACCCTACTTAGCCAACAGTTCAACGTTAAACTTTTTGGGCTTCCTTATTTAGTAGGAATAATATTCAGCAGGAATAACAAAGCTTAACCTTTTTTTCCTCAGTTATTGGAGAAGAAAGCCACAAACGAGTCAGGCTCGACGTGGGGCCCGACGCACGATGGCCTGGGCCTCGGACGTCTGAAGATGAGGAGGGAGGAAGAGCCAGTAAACCCCCCCCCCCCCACAACCCCCAAAACTTCTAGCCCATAAACCCCATAAACCCCATACACCCCATAAACCCCATAAACCCCATAAACCCATAAACCCCTGAACCCCTAAACCCGAAAACCCCTACAACCCTAAAACCCTGAAGCCCTGACCCTAAACCCTAAACCACCGCCCTGTATGTGCTCCCTGTTTGATGTTCATTTTGGGCAGGGCAGTGCGAGTTCATATTATTGGGTCCTCGAGGGAGACCCTAAACCCTGAACCCGAAACCTTTAACCCCGAAACCCTAAACCCTAAACCCTAAACCCTAAACCCTAAACCCTAAACCCTTAACCCTTAACCCTTAAACCCCTAAACCCTAAACCCTAAACCCTAAACCCTAAACCCTAAACCCTAAACCCTAAACCTTAAACCTTTAAACTTTAAACCCGAAACCCTAAACCCTCAACCCTCAACCCTAAACCCTAAACCCCTCCCCTGAATGACCCTACAAAGTGGAGCTTGCCAGGATGCTCCCGCCTGCATTGCCATCAGCGAGGCTGGGCTTGGAGTCTGCTACGGGTTTAGGGTTTAGGGTTTAGGGTTTGGGGTTTAGGGTTTAGGGTTTAGGGTTTAGGGTTTAGGGTTTAGGGCGGGTGCTTCTCCTATGACAGGCGAGACATTTTAAAAACAGGGGTCCCTTAGGATGTCTAAGGCTAAACCCCAAACCCCAAATCCTAAATCCTAAACCCTTGAAACTTGAAACCCTAAACCCTATACCCTACACCCTAAACCCTAAACCCTAAACCCTAAGCCCTATAAACCCTATAAACCCTATAAACCCTAAACCCTAAACCCTAAACCCTAAACCCTAAACCCTAAACCCGCCCGCCACCCCTCTCACCTCTGTTGGGTAGGCGGGCGCAGTCGAGCGCTCAGCGAGACCATGGCAGGCTCTGCTTGAGCTGCAGAGCCTGCCCACCGCACCCCTGAGGGGTCGCCTAGCTTGGTCACCAAGCATAGTCACTGCAGATATATTATTACCCTAAAACCCTGGAAAGGTCTCCCTCGCCTTCCGGGGCTGGCCTTAAAGCCTCCCAGTAAGGGAGGCCTTAAACCCTTCCAGTAGGCAGGGGGACCTTAAACCCTCCCAGTAGGCGGGGGGGCCTTCCAGCAGGAGTCGGAAGGGGCCTTAAACCCTCCCAGTAAGCAGGGCCTTAAACCCTTCTAGTAGCGAGGGGGCCTTAAACTCTCCCAGTAAGCAGGGGTGCCTAAACCCTTCCAGTAGGCAGGGGACCTTAAACCCTCCCAGCAAGCGGGGGGCCTTAAACCCTCCCAGTCAGCAGCGGAGTCTTAAACCCTCTAAGCAGCGGAGCCTTAAACCCTCCCAGTAAGGGACGCCTTAAACCCTTCCAGTAGGCGGCGGACCTTAAACTCTCCAGTAAGCAGCAGGGCCCTTGACCCTTCCAGTAAGCGGCAAGGCCCTGAAGGAGTATCCATTGCCTTATGGCCCTCAACTAGCTGAGTTTTCTATGAGAGGGCTCTTCGGCCCAGACCGTCCCCTTCCTTTGTTTTGGCCCCAAGTGAGCCCCAAGCTGCAACCTTTCCACGCCTGAATTTTCTATGAGAGGGCCCTTCGGCCCAGACCGTCCCGTTCGCAACAACCTGATGGGGTCTCCTTTGTCTTGGCCCCAAGTGAGCCCCAAGCTGCAACCTTTTCACGCCTGAATTTTCTATGAGAGGGCCCTTCGGCCCAGACCGTCCCGTTCGCAACAACCTGAAGGGGTCTCCTTTGTCTTGGCCCCAAGTGAGCCCCAAGCTGCAGCCTTTTCACGCCTGAATTTTCTATGAGAGGGCCCTTCGGCCCAGACCGTCCCCTTCGCAACAACCTGAAGGGGTCTCCTTTGTCTTGGCCCCAAGTGAGCCCCAAGCTGCAACCTATCCTCGCCTGAGTTTTCCATGAGAGGGCCCTTCAGACCGTCCCCTTCGCAAAACGTAAAGGGGTGGCCCAAAGTTCCAAGTGACCCAGAAGTCCAATCCTTGAAGGCTTGGATTGCTCGCTGGAGCTTCCTCGTCTTCGAGATTTTGCCCAGCCGTTCGAAGTCCGAAGTTTCTTCAGCGTCCTCTCATGAGATATGCGACGTGTGAGTTGTGAATGGTTGGCTTGGTTTGGGCTGGCTCCGGTTTGGTTTCGCTTTGAGTTGTGATTGGGTGGCCTTGGGGTGGGCGTGTCTTCACACTATTGCGTTCAGCTGACCCGTGCTACACCCTAAACCGTAAACCCTAAACCCTAAACCCTAAACCCCAAACGGACACGATCTCCCCAACTTCAGGTGGCAGCGTTTGGCGGCGTCTCTCGCGACGACCTGCGGATCGGGGCGACCAAGGCCATCGGACCCGAGCCGTGGGGAATGGGTTTAGGGTTGAGGGTTTAGGGTTTAGGGTTAGGGGTTTCGGGTTTAGGGTTTGGGGTTTGGGGTTTGGGTTTTAGGGTTTAGGGTTTGGCGTCTGGGGTTTAGGGTTTGGGGTTTATAAGGTTTAGGGTTTTCGGAATTGGGTTTAGGGGGCCTGTTAACGAGGATGATTGTAATTGGGCTTCATAAGGGCTGCCCCATAGGGGGATGGGGCGCAGACGTGCGCACGCACACATGCGCACACGCGCGCGCTCGCACACGCGGACACACGGGCACGCGCACACGCATGCACGCGTGCCGCTCACAGGCACGCACACGCACACCGCAACTACACGCTCACGCGTAACACGCACGCGCAAACGCGCGCGTGCATGCGCGCACGCATGCGCGCACGCAGACACACAAACCCACAGACACATGGACACACAGACCCGCAGACACACAGACACACAGATACGCAGACACACAGACTCGCAGACACACGCACAGGCGCACACATGCACACACGCACACACGCAGGCACTCAGACGCACACACGCACACCCGCACTCCCGCACACCCGCGCACACGCAAACGCACACGTACGCGCACACGCTTTCTTACTTTTCTTGCTTGCTCACTTACTTTCTTATCTCTCTCTTCTTCACTTACTTACTTCCTTACTTTCTTACTTCCTTACTTACTTACACTTGTTTGACACAGAGTCAGTCTCGGAGGACTGTGCGTCAATGCTTTCACACTCCAGCACTGGGGACTCAAACAGTCAAAACTTCATTGAGCTCTTCATTAGGTTCTTGTCATGCCCGATCGAGGTCGCGTGAGTTTTCCCCAAGTCTCCCTGGGGCGACACTTGTGATGTAAGCTATGCGTAATCCAAGCCGCTCTGAATCCAAGGCACAAGGGAATCGCATCCAACTGGTCGAAGTTGTTTATGAAAAGCGTACAAATAGTGCGCAGCGCTTATATCACGGGCTTGGAAACAGGGCGCAGCTTGCAGTATGTAAGGATCGCCAGGTACACAGCTGGGCCCCAGCTTGCTCCACAGGTGTCATGCTGGCGTCTTCGTTGGTGCCAGTCCAGCATGCGTCGTCCCTGGCACCCCCGGCTTCGTGCTTTTCAGGTAGTAGCGCTCCAACAAAGTCGGGAAACAACTCGTAGCCTTTGGAAAATGAGGCTTCCCACACGCGCACACGCGCACGCGCGCGCACGCGCACACCCACACATGCACACCACGCAGTGCCTTCTGAGACCTTGGCACACACACCCAAGCTGAGGTTCCCCCGAACTACAACAAGTTGGTTATAGTTGTGGGTTTGTGCTTTCTTGTTCTTGTTCTTTTTCATTTGATATTTGTTCTTGTTCTGGGTCTTCTTGGTATGATTTTGTATATTTTTAAACATTCTTGCGGCTATCATATAGCATTCTCCTTACAAATGTTATCATCGAGCCAGAGTCCAGAGTATGAAGATTCGTGCGCGCTACGATTCGGGACGTGATGTCCTTTGACAGCTTGTGGTCGAACGGCTGTGATGCAATACGGTCACTTCTCTAAAACGTGGTCCCTTTTGGGGGTCCATATTGATAAGGCGGCTCGTCTGGTTTAGGGTACCCAAAGGGAGACCCTAGTTGGGAGAACTCGCCATGTGTCTACTGAGATCTGCTGAGCTTCTCTGGGCGGCTACTATGATTGGGATGATGCCAAGCAGGGTCGGGTTTGTTGTGGACGGATTGGGCATGCGACTTTCTTCGGGCAATCTGAGCGCAGCTTGCTTTGTGTGTTTGTGTGTTTCAGTCGGCCTAAAGCCTAAACCCTAAACCCTAAACCCTAAACCCTAAACCCTAAACCCTAAACCCTAAACCCGAAAAGGGACCCTAATTTTGCGGCACAATATGGCTCTACCCCACGTGCAGGTCTTCATGCGTGCGCCTGCCCTTGCGTGGTTGGAGAGCAGGAGGTGCGCTGAAGGGCAGATGCGCATGATCCGGCTCAGAGTCCGCTATCTTTATACCTGAATCGCGTGTTTGCTGCAATTCGATTTCCTGAACCATGTAACAGCTGCTCTTGTCCTCCTCCCAAAGTGCAGGAAAGAGTAGCAGGACTACTAGCTGTAGTCCTTTCGCAGCACGGGTGCGAGTGCAGCCACAGCAGCCGTGCATTTTACAAACCACACGTAGTCGAATCCATCTTTCAATCATGAGAAGCGTAGTTCTGTAAGGTAGGCGCCCTTTTGGGGTCCCCCTGTATAATACTGCACCCTTATAATAAGGAGCGCTAGAAAATGTTTCCCCCTTTATACGAACAGTCCCTAATAGGGATTATGGTACCCCCTATTCCCCTTTGGATGACTGTTAGCAGAAGAGGAACCTCCCAAAGGACCCCAAACAAGTTCGATTACTACCCAAAAACCCGTTGCACCCTAAACCCTAAACCCTAAACCCTCAACCCTAAGCCCTAAGCCCTAAGCCCTAAGCCCTAAACCCTAGACCCTACACCTAAACCCTAAACCCTAAACCCTAAACCCTAAACCCTAAACCCAAAACCCAAAACCCAAAACCCAAAACCCAAAACCCTAAACCCTAAACCCTAAACCCTAAACCCTAAGCCCTAAGCCCTAAACCCTAAACCCTAAACCCTAAACCCTACCCCCTAAACCCATTGCTTGCATTCCTTTCCGGCCAGGTCCCTGCATGCCTCCCTCACTATCCTCGCTGCCCTCAGGGGCCACAGGGCTCGGTAGGGCGCTGAGGAGCTCTGAGGGTGACGTCGACATGCATCTTATGGTTTAGGGTTTAGGGTTTAGGGGTGTCCCATACCGCCCCCGCCTGAGCTTCCTCCCTAGGCATGCCTATCAGCAGATCCGTCGCAGCGCGCTGAAGCTGCAGGAGCCGGGGTTTGGGGTTTAGGGTTTAGGGTTTAGGGTTTAGGGTTGAGGGTTTAGGGTTTAGGGTTTCGGCTTTCGTTACTTCCTGGCGCAGGGTCTAAAGCACGCTCTCGTGATCAAACCCTGACCCTCAGCCCTAAACCCTAAACCCTAAACCCTAAACCCTAAACCCTAAACCCTAAATCCTAAACCCTAAACCCTAAACCCTGCTTCTTGAGCCCTGCGCTTCGTGCGGAAGGCCTTGCAAAGAGGCCGCGCTGGGCGGCGGCGCGCAGGAAGCCCAGTTCCTTGCCCCAGACGCAGGACGCAGGTCGACGAGGAGTCTTCAATGACGATGTCAGCGATGATGTGTTGCGCTTAATTATGGGTTAGATGAGTATCTGAATATCTATATATATATATATATATATATATAGAGAGAGAGAGAGAGAGCTCTGCAAGACGTCATATACGAATATGTAGTACGCATAGATGTAGAGGTATGCATCTGTATAGGTATATACTACGCAAGCTAGATGGGACGCTGTTACCGGCACTGCCGCACAGGCAGGGCGCCTTGCTGCGGAGCGAGCGCGATACCAGGCATGTTTTCTTTATTATATTAAGTTTTAATTAGGGGTTTTAGGGTTTTAGGGTTTTAGGGTTTAGGGTTTTAGGGGTTCTAATTTGGGTTTTAGGGTTTTAGGTGTTGGTGTTGGGGTGTAGGGTTTTAGGTTTGGTGAATTTGGGTCATGTGGGGTGAGGGTATCAGGGCTTTACGCCTCCTTGAATTCTGGCGCTATAGCTGTTACTGACCTGCCCCTTGCTAAAGCCTTGCGCCTTTCCAATCGACACAAAAGCCCAAACTGAGCGCCTGAACCTCAGCTCCCTCCCCGAAAACGCTGAACCCTACACGCTAGACCCTATAGACCCTGAACCCCAAGCCCCTACACCCTGAACCCTAAAACCTGAACCCTGAACCCTAAACCCTAAACCTTAAACCCTAAACCCTAAACCCCCTAGACCCTAAACCCTAAACCCTAAACCCTAAACCCTCAAGCCCCCTGTAACTTGAAATTATTAAGAAAAATCTAAAAAGCGAAACTTCTTGAAACTCAAACTCCTCGAAACTTCCCCGGACCTGAACCCTTAATAATTTCAATAAACCCTAAACCCTAAACCCCCTAGACCCTGAACCCAACGAACCCATGGCTACCTGTCAGGCTGAGCGACAGGCAGCAGAGGCAGCTGCGGCTGCAAAGGCCGCCATGCCATGGTTTAGGGTTTAGGGTTTAGGGTGTAGGGTTTAGGGTTTAGGGTTTAGGTTTTAGGGTTTAGGGTTTAGGTTTTAGGGTTTAGGGGGTTTAGGGTTTAGGGTTTAGGGTTTAGGGTTTAGGGTTTAGGGGGTTTAGGGTCTAGGGGGTTTAGGGTTTAGGGTCTAGGGTTTAGGGTTTAGGGTCTAGGGGGTTTAGGGTTTCGGGTTTAGGGTTTAGGGCTGTTTTGTGGGATCCTACTTGAAGATTCATGGTTACGTAGCAGTAGGGTTTTAAGTGCCTGAAATACTATGATCAGGTTTCCCCTACCTACGTCCCTACTTCTAAGTACCCTAAACCCCAAAATCTGGAAAGGCTGCAGCTCGCGCTCGGGCTGCTGTCTGGGAGGATCCGTGAGCTTTCATGCGCCTGTGACGCTGCTGTGGCTCAAAGAACGACGGCAGGGACCCTTATAAGGGAACTTAGGGCCTAAGGGGTTATTTAGAGGCTACTTTGGTTATAGGGACTATATAAAGTATATACATATATATATATATATACATGCAGGGGTTATATAGGGGAATCAGATTACGGGTCCCTTCTAGGGGTCCCTTCTTATACCCCTTAAGGCGCGCTTGTTCACGCGCCGTTCGTTGCAGGACGCAGCCTTGCAGCTCCAGTGCAACTGGCGTGGAAGGCTGCTTTGCGACTAGTTGCTTAAGAACTCCCAAAAGAGGATTAGGGTTTAGGGTTTAGGGTTTAGGGTTTAGGGTTTAGGGTTTAGGGTTTAGGTTTTAGGGTTTAGGGTTTAGGGTTTAGGGTTTAGGGATCTTGAAGGAAGGGATGTGAGGGACCTCGCTACTTGCAACCGGTGTGCATCTCTCAAAACTTTCTTGGACCCTCGACAGCCCCTTTCGGCATGTCTGCGCGTCCCGATGTGGATGCAGCAGATGCGGAGAACCACTACTTGGAGGTTCATGGGTACTCAAAAGCAAGGTTACAAGTAGGGTATCACCTCATCTAGGGTACAAACCCTAAACCCTAAACCCTAAACTCTAAACTCTAAACCCTAAACCCTAAACCCTAAACCCTAAACCCTAAACCCTAAACCCTAAACCCTAAACCCTAAACCCTAAACCCTAAACCCTACTTAGAAGTACCCATGAACCTTCAAGTAGAGAATGCCAGCTTCCTCGAGCTATCGAATCTCGGAATCTCCGTTGTCGCATGTTTGAGCACAGCCCAAGGCGACCCAAACTGGAAGGTTCATGGCGACTTAGAAGTAATCTGCTGGCACTGATGATCGCGCATCAGCATCTAGGGTTTAGGGTTTAGGGTTTAGGGTTTAGGGTTTAGGGTTTAGGGTTTAGGGTGTAGCAAGCCTCAACAAGCAAGCATCAGTGGCACGCCTGCCCCTCGAAAGCATTCTGCACCTTGAAGCAATGAGAACGGCGCTTTGTGCGCTGCACCGTCAATCAATCAGAGTGATTTCGCCGGGATATGAGGAGGGAGGGCCGGGCTACAGGAAGAAAAGAACACGAGCAAGCAGGCCCAGACTCCGCTGAAACCCCGAAAGTTAGGGTTTAAGGTTGAGGGTTTAGGGTTTAGGGTTTCGGGTCTAGGATTTAGGGTTTAGAGCTTAGGGTTTAGGCTTGCATTACACATGTCGCAGCATCATGTGCTCAGGCAGGCCAGGAAGGCTCTGGCCGCTGCACGCGGCGGCCTTGAGTGGCAGCTGCTCGTGGTGGGTTCGAAGTTTTTTTACTCAGGGTTTAGGGTTTAGGGTGTTGGGTGTAGGGTTTCGGGTTTAGGACTTAGGGTTTGGGGTTGACTTGTGTCCTCTCAGGTGAAGACCGGTCCTGGGCCAAGTTCGCAGTGAGTGTCGGTGGGTTTGCGCCGAGGATCTTAGGGAGAGGGCTTCTTTCCAGGCGGCGCCGCATTGAGACCCTTGCGGTGGCAGCCGCCAACGTCGTCAACCTGGACACGTTGCAGCGTGTGCATCTGCATGTGGCTGCTGCTCCCTTCAGTAGGGTTCCCTGTGTCTCCTGTTAAGGCGGCCACGACTCCGCTGGAGGCGAAGAAGGCCACCCTAAACCCGAAACCCTAAACCCTAAACCCGAAACCCTAAACCCTAAACCCCAAACCCTAAACCCTTTCAAGACGTGCAATAATTCCTGGCACCGCCTTGCCCACTGCATCCACATTGCCTCCATACCTGTCACTTGCGAGGTTGCCACCTTCACAACAGCTCCACGTGCAGATTCAACCAAGAGGCTTTTTTTTGGGGTTTAGGGTTTTAGGGTTTAGGGGTTTAGGGATTAGGGTTTGCAATATTTGCAGCCACAGCAGCGGCACTTTCTGTTTCGCTCAGCTTTGTTGCAGGCTTGTCGGCGAGATCCGACTGGGCCAGCCGCAGTACGGCCAGCGGTACACGAGGCATGGTCTGCACCGGTTGGTCCCAAGCTATTCCATGGTGTGGCAGGCCACTGAAGGACCACGAGATTCGGGCAGCCTGCCGTAGAAGCGAAGTGGGGTGTCAGAAGGACCTGCGCGATTCGGTTGTCTGAAAGTGTCAGGGCCTGGCACTGAACCTGGCTTAAAGTCTCGGCGCGCCAAAAGATACCAAAGCACAGGAGAACATTGCCGTGCCGAATGCGCAGGCGTATCGCGCTCAGGGTACATGTCTACACTTCTTTGCGTGACCCGACCTCTACACATGGTCAGTTCTGTCCTTTCGGGTCCTTGTCGTGCGCTTCCCAACACAGGCATGAGATGTGTGCCTGCATGATTGCCCGTTCTCACCTGAGGTTGCTCCCGGAGAAGGCCAAGTGGGTGTACCTTTGGGTTTAGGGTTTAGGGTTTAGGGTTTAGGGTTTAGGGTTTAGGGTCTGCACAGAAACTGCACACAGAGGTGTCTGGCAACCTTGCAAGAGCTGAAAATTGGAGACCAAATGTTCAACAGTTTGTAGCTCACCTTACGGCTCCTTCTTAGAACCCTAACGAACCTTGGCAAAAACAGTCACTTTACGCGGTGGTTAACTGGTATTGCAAGCCTTAAGATGAGAATTTGACGCAGCGTTTGAACTTCAGGTTCAACCACGCAGGAAAGAAGAAACGCAGCAGATGTGCCATTCATGTACCAAAATGAGGCCAGCAGTTGCAACGCCCGCACCCTGCCCGCTTCTCAACCCCTTCTTCAGCCACCTGACCCCAGAGCTGTGTGCTAATAATAAAAATAATAACAATAATAATAACAATGATAATAGTATGAATAATAAGAAGAATACTAACAATAACAATAGTAATAAACATAACAACCAGAGCTGTGTATGACAGCTCCTTGCTTCTACTTGCACAGCGCAGAGAGACCCCGGGGCCTCTTTGTGTTCCTGCCATGGCACGGCGGGGTCGGCATGATGCTGTACCCATGCCCCAGGGTAGGCTCGTGGCGCC